AGCTAGGCTAACTGCGTGCAGCGAGGCTAACTGCATGCAGAGAGGCTAACTGCGTGCAGCGAGGCTAACTGCATGCAGAGAGGCTAACTGCGTGCAGCGAGGCTTACTGCGTGCAGCTAGGCTAACTGCATGCAGAGAGGCTAAGGCTTTATCCTGCTTTATCCTGCCTCCTTTTTCAAAGGTCAGGATCTGATCCAGCGTGGATAAAGACAGCTAAGAAGAATGAACAATCTGGGATTCACATGGAAAATAATAGAATATAGTCTACTTTTTCTATATGTTTGTTGATTTGCATAGTTGCTCTTAAATAAACACATTCTCAGAAAATAAATAGTTTTTATAAATTAGAAAAAGTATAAAGCTGACTAATAGCTCCTCTATTATTAAACTGGTGCATTATTTTTCTAGGTTTATGACGCCATATTGGATGAATGAAAAACCATGAAAAACCCAGATTTACCTTCACAGCCTCAGAATTGCAAGATCTATGTACAAAAAGTAAACCTGGACATGAAATTAGGTTTTTACTATGTTTTTATTGTTGGCATTCATATAAATATCCTGATGTGATAACTTAGTGTACGTTTGATTGCTTTTTGGTAAAAAAAAAAAAAAAAGTCTATTTTGAATTTCTAGCCCCTTCTGGAGAAAACTCCCCCCGGCTGTCGATGCTGAGAACATAGAACCGCTTCCTGCTGATGAATCTACCTGTTCCAGTAACACCGTTTGGTCCAGCGGACCAGAATCAGCAGGTGAACCGAGCTGAAACCTGACGACCGACACAGGCGGGAGGGTTTGGCTACTTTTGCTGAAGTGAAACTATTTCGGACATTCCTGGGAGCTGATAAACCCTGAAGAGGAGGAGGGAGAAATGGGAGGAGACAGATAGGTTCCTCTGCAGCTGAAAATCAACTGGTTCCTAGAAACAATCGGGTCCAACTGGATCAGAACTCTGTCTTCGCGCTCCAGCCCTACAGGGTCCATTAGAACCATCTGTCGGTGAATCAAGCTTCCTAAAACCTTCTGATTCCTGCTCTTCATCCCAGAGTTCTGGTAAAGAACTAGAACCACTCTAACCCAGGTTCAGATTCTGGTTCTGTTCCACCTTACAGAATTAAGCTGTTTGGTCACCAGCACCTAAGGTCTTCAGCAGGGCGGTGGCAGCATCATGCTGCGTTAATGGAGGGCGACCAGTCAGCAGACAGATGGGACCCAGTTAAATGTTCCAACTGGAGGCAGCTTTTAAAGGCTGACACCCATCATAGGTTCAACTTTGAGTGATTTCCTTCCTCCATTTACAGGATTAAAACACAAAATCCTGATAGAATTAGACAAATAGAAACAGTTATCGACAAATCCGTCTAAATATTAATACCAGCTGTGATTCTAAATCTGCTGAACCTGATGTGAAATCTGCAAACACGCATACCGGCTGATGCAGATATGGATTAATCTAATCCTTTAACAAACCTGCAAACATTCATACGGAGGGTTCAGCATAAAATCAACATTAAATGGGTTTTAGAAGGTCTAGAAGCACTAGATCTATCTATATCTATATCCAGTCATTCAGCATAGATCCTGCTGCACGGCTCTACGTCTTATTTTGGCATTTGACCAATTATATGAGCCCTTGAATGATAGAAATTAAATTGGAAAAAAAATTAACAATTCAAGAAAAAAAGATTAAAAGCTAATTGAAAAGTTAAAAAGTTAACAAGCCTAGTTAATTATATTTAGGTTTATAAACTAAAACATGTTAATTGCCAGTATCAGCATTAATGCCACTAAGGTTATGTGCTTCTTTCACTCTCATTTTTTCATTAATTTCTTCTAGAAGCATTTAATTATTTTTCTTAATATATTCAGGAAGTTGTTTCGTTTCTTCTTATTACATCGACATTCATTTTTGGCATCAAAATATCCTTTTTTTTAATGTTCCAAAGATAATAAAGTCTCTGCCTGGATTCCAGTAACACTATAAGCTGGAAATGTTGATTTTCAAAGTATTTCACTGATGCTTAATAACAGAAAACTCTCAGAACTTCTTTAGAGAGAATCGATTCTGTACGGAAGCCCAGAGCGGTCAATACTTTTTCTCATTATCTAAAGATAACGAAGCCGTTTTCTTGTGATAACGAGATGATTTTATGTGTTAAAACTAATTCCCTCCTTCAATACCACAACAGCGGGAGAGGATTTAGAAGCCTTCAAAATTGGGCATAAATTAAAAAATATCACACTACTGCGAGGATTTTTTTTTATTTATTTATTTTTTTATTTTATATACTCTAATAATCCCAGAGGGAAATTACTTCTCTGTATTTAACCCATCCCCAAGGTACGGACGAGGATTAGGGCCACTGGAAAAAAAAAAAAAAAGTTTACTGATTTTAAAATTTTATTTCAGTTTAGTATTGGAAAAAAGTCAGAATTCTGACTTTAATCTCAGAATTCTGACTGAATTCTGAGATTAAAGTCAGAATTCTGACTTTTTTTCCATACTATACTGAAATAAAATTTTAAAATCAGTAAACTTTTTTTTTTTTTTCAGTGGCCCTAATCCTCTTCCGTACCTTGGGGAGCAGTGAGCTGCCATTGTGAGGTGCATGGGGAGCAGTGTGAGGTTAAGGGTGAGATCGTTGCAGATATTTTTGATTTATGCTCAATATTGAAGCGTGGTCTGCGCTACGTTATTCCACGCCACAACACCAGAGGGCCAATCAGGAACTAGCTGTGGGTCTAGATACGGCCGAGGCGGGGAGGAAGTGGGGGCAAGTTTGTGCGACAACGGAGGGACATGAGGGCCAAAAAGAGCGGGGATCCAGGTGGAAAAAGGGTCCCAGCGTTCTTATGCACCTCGCTCTGCTAGCTGCTCCATCTTCACCAGTCGTTTTCCACAATGGCGGTCAGTCAAACAAAACAAGCCGGTAAGGAACCAAACAGGAAATACGCATAGTGTTTCTGAGCATAAACCAGGCTTAAGTCTGTAAATAATCTTGTGTTCAACTTTTATAGAAACGAGACGACATTGTTGGTTTGATGATTTGCTTCCACTTCTGATTCCTAACCAATCAGCCCTATGCCTCCAGGTGTTTCACCTGTAACAGCTGCATTAACCCCTAAAATGAGTCCAGATTAAGGATGTTCAAAAAACAGTCAGATTTGTTTCCATTTAATCCAATCCACCACCTGACAATAAGTGAAAAGAAAGAGGAAACTAAATACTGATTATTTGCGAACACGCGGTACGGCAACTGGACAACTACGACCCTGCAGGCATGGATGGACTGGGAATCCTGGGCTGCTGGCCGGCCTCATTACTCTGACCGGTTAGTCACCTCGTTATCTAGATAACCGTTTTCTAGAGATAACAAAATAGTTTTCTCATTATCTCGAAAAGGCAAAGGAAAAAATCAGGCCGCCCTCGGCTTCCATAAATTCTGTGTTTGTCAACTTTAATGCTAATTTAATAATATAAATAAAGAGTTTCTGGTTTATATACCAACAATTTAAATAATAATTAGTTAAAATAATCCCGTTGGGAGAATCACTGGGAAATGCTTGTAGAATTACGTCTGCAGGTGAACTAATTAAAATATAAGGGTGACTAAAGGGGGCGGAGCTAGAGGGTGGCCATGGACACCTCTTGGCCACCCTCTAGCTCCACCCCTGCTGTAAATCCTGATATTTTTCTGATACCACAGCTCCGTTTGCTTTATTTCTCTAAGCAGGGATGATGTTTACGAACGAACGCATCGATCTACCAAAGACAGGAAGTGATGAAAGCAGATTAAATCCTGAAAACAAATAACTGGGTTTATTGAGACAGTCACTCCCAATGGGGGAAACATCATTACTCTAAATAAGGATTTTTATTATAGAAACAGACTGAATAGATCTGCCCTTTCATTGGGCCTATATCAGTTTGTGTCCATGACGATGATGATGATGATGATGAGTCTACCTTCCTCTTTATTCTGAGATATTTCTGCCTGTTTCAGATTTAAAAACGACGACGCGTGACCCGAACAGCGGTACCACAGAACAGAACCATTAAAGGATCACAGCCAGGCTCTCTGTTGGGGTTAAAGGTCAAACTCTCAGATGTCGTCGGTCCAGAACCGGCTCTGAACAGAACCTTTCCATCCCCCGGGGACAGGACCCAAAAGATCCCGGCGCCAAGCAGAGAAACTCTACGGCTGATCCGACCCAGAGCCTAAGGCTGGCTGGCAGAGGACAGGCGTCCCTCTGTCCACACAGAGACATTTGAGAGGACAGAACTTACGTCTGGAGTCTTTGATGGTTTTCAGGGCTGACTGGAGCCGGTCCAACATCATCCAAAGTCCAGAAGCAGACAGCAAAGGAGAAGCGATCAGAAACCCAACTTCCTCCCGGTCCACCTGTCTCCGTCTGTCTCTGTGTCCCTCTGAGGACGGCTGTACCTCCAGCAGCAGGCGAGTCGCTGTGAATTTGAGCAGAGCTCAGAGAGAGGAGCAGCAGGAGGGGGCGGGGCCACAGCTGGGGGGCGGGATGTGCCGTCCGCGGTGCGTTCAGGCGCTGTCTGAGTGTGGGTCCCCTTGCTGACGGGTTGGGTCCATCCTGCTGACATGACTGTGGAGACGCTGCCTCCTGGTGGCGGCGCCGCCTCTTAACAAGGACTTTATGATAGGCAGTACCGGATTGAGCCGGTTTAATAATCAGAACCGGTCCTGAGCGGACTGAACCCTGAAGGCTCCATCAGTCCGGTTCTTTATTCATTTTTCTGCTTTTTATCCTCCAGATTTTACCTTTTTTTTTTAGAACTTTAAATCCAGCAGAACCGAAACAGAATCGTCCTCTGGGAGCCCAGAACCAATGTTCTACCGATACGGAACCGCAGAGCAGAACTGCTCAGAAAGCTGATTCATGCTTTTAATATTGAGCTTCGGATCATTTCCGGGTCAATCAGAACCATCAGAACTTCTCGGTCTGTGCAGACGAACAGATTTCTCACTCACCTCCGCTCACTTCCTGAGACGCGATGACGAATCCAAAGCCTTCCCCCGGCCGCCTCCTCAGCTCCACCTCCACCATCTTGGCTCCTCCTCGGCCATCTTTGGCCCTGGCTCCTGAAGCTCCGCCCCCAGGGGCCGGCCCCGAGCTGTCCTCCACACCCTGCAGGTCGCGGGGCTCCAGGGTCAGGGTCACCGGAACCGAATCCAGGAAGCTGGTGCTCTGGATGAGGGCCGAGGCCGAGGGCCCGTTTGGAGTCTGAGCAGGAGGGGCCCCTGGAAGACAAAGAGCAGGCCCCCCATTGGAGCAGGAGGACATCTGATGAACCCAGCATGTTCTGCTTCTTACCCTGCAGCTTCATTTTGGAACCATAAACTGATTTACCTTTGTGGGCCCCTGACGGTAGCAGCTGGCTCTCCTGTGGACCCTCAGGGGCCAAGCCGGCCTGGCTGAGGGTGGGGGCGCCCCCCAGAGAGGCACCTGTGGACGGGGAAGGCAGCTCAGTGGAGGACTGAGTGGTCAGGATGTGGGGGGAGGAGAGCGGCTTGTAGAGGTTTGGCGTGACGAGGGGGGAGGAGACGGGACCTGGGGGAGGACAGAGACAGCGGGACCGTTCTGACATTCTGATACCGGGTACAGGAACAAAGCTTACTGGTTCCACTGCTGGTTTAACTGGTTATTACAGGGACAGAACCCTGGGAAGGCCTGCTTACCTCCTCTGTGGACCAGCAGGACCACCTCTCCTTGTTTGGTGTGTTCCTGCAGGACTCTCTGGACCTGGAAAACAACGCATGCCTGGTTACTGGACCTGTCTGCAAACATGGACGTCCATGGAACATGTTCCACGTCTGCAAACATATTACGGGTTTTTTCTCTGGCCAGAAGTTCGATGGCAAATCCTCCCTCTTCAAGTTGGCGATCCAACGACCAACCCGTCCGTGGAGGATCAGGAATCAGAAAGGTGGAATAACTCTTTTATTTCCACTTTTCCCCGATGTATTCCAGCATCCAGCTGCCATGCACGTGGGCATTGTCAGTTTCACTATAGCTCTGGTGAATTTCAATGGTGAAGTCCTCTGGAAATCTTCAATAATTGTTTTTGATTGCAGATGTGTCTAGTAGTTCCCATTGATTTAGCTTGGAAAGCGGGGAGAATGGCGCTAGGCTTACCGCACCGTGACGTATCTGCTGGAAGATGGCAGGAGGGAGGGGCTACTATATTTGGGCTAAAATGGCCGCTCCCAGACTCAGTGATCGCGATGAAAATTATAATTTTTTACTGATTAACTCTAAATTCATTAAATCAAAGCGAACTTATTAGTTTTAGGTATAAATAACGATCCATTGATTATTTCTTGCTGATCGGACTTTTGTTTTATTTGCATTTACTGCTATAGAGCACTGCCAGTAGATGGCGCCATTTATTTATTATGTCCGCTCATTGCATCGGTGCTGGATTTCTATTATGGATGTAAACACCATGAGGACGGACAGCTGGTGGTTATGACCTTATTTTTATCAGGATCAAACGGTTTTTTCGTAGAGGCGCATAAAGCAACGCTGACCGTTTATCCCACCTGGCTGCGGCTCCTCAGATCTTCTTCTGCACTTTAGAACGTTTTATCGCTCTGGTTTAATGAAGGAAATCCAGGATCTGTGTTTGAACCAAGTCACACCTGAACTGAACCGCCGTTCTCGCTCACCTGAGTGAAGCTGAGGCTCTGCACATCGGCTCCGTTGATCTTTACAATCAGATCTCCAGCCTGCAGCAAGGGACACTGCCTCCGATCCCACACCCGCTTCACCACGGCCTGCTGCCCGCCCTGTCCTCCCGCCGTCACGCTGAACCCCAACCCGCCGCTCTCACTGTGTCTGAGCGCCACAGGAACCAGCTCTCCTCCATGTGCTGAACCTGGTGACCCTGCACCAAGAGGTAGAACCAGACCTCCGCCTCCTCTGGAGGACGAGGAGGTCAGCCCGTGGTTTGCCGGACACCCGTTAAAGCCACACGGCGGAACGTCTCTAGATGGCATCACGGCGTGCGAAGTCTGAGGCATCTGCTGGCATGGCACAGGAGCAGAGGGAGCAGCGGAGGAGGAGGAGGGGTTGTCACTGCCGGTGGAGGTGAAGTTCTGGACGCGACCCACGTCCAGCTGAGAGAGGGTCAGTTTGGACAACATGTGGGACGAGGAGGAGATGTTAGGGAGCGTGGACGTGGACAGGTCGCTCTCTGAAGACTTGGAGCTCTGATGAAGGAGGAGCGAGGAAGAGGAAAGGGTGGGGAGAGTGCTGCTGTTGTAGCGAATCAACGAAGACCTGGGACACAGAGAGAGCGAGAAGAATGCAGAAAACACCAAACAGGTCATATATTTAAATCATCTAAGCAATTAAAAAGAGAGGTCACCTCTTTAACTTCCCTTCTCTGGTTTCCTGTTAGTCCGTGAGGCAGACACCCTGTCTACTTTTAAGGCTAGGCTTAAAACTTTCCTTTTTGATAAAGCTTCTAGTTAGAGTGGCTCAGGTTATCCTGAGCTATCTCTATAGTTCTGCTGCTATAGGCTTAGACTGCTGGAGGACATAGGGACCCCTTTTTCATCATTCTGCTTCATTCTATCTCTATTCTCCCACTCTGCAGAATCTGTTAGTTCAATCTCTAACGTTCTGCTCTCTCTGCTTTTTCTCATAGTAGCTTCATCTGGTCTGTTCCTGTTTGGCTGTGACTCCATCCTGGAGAGAAATATCAGCTGTGCTGCTGCCATCAACACCTTTGTTTCTAGATGTTTTTTTCCCAGTGTTTAATCCTGTTTCTTTCCTAGACATAGCTATGGGCCCAGCTTTTACTGTGACTAACTGGATCTTTTCTCTTTCATCCTTTGACATGAAAACCGACTCAGAGCTCGTTTGTTTAACTGTTTCTTTCCAAGACAGAGCCGCCTGTGGAGCTAGTTTACTGTTAGCTTTTCTAACATAGAAAGTATTTATAAATCAGAGCTTATATTTTCCTTTTCTATGTCTTCTTCTGTCTCCTTGAACCCCGGTCACTGAGCCTGGTTTTGGTTCTGCTGGAGGTTTTTTTCCAATTAAAGTAAGTTTTCCTCTCCACTGTCGCTGCCTGCTTTGTGTGAGAGATTGCTTAAGAGTCGATGAGTTGATTCAATTAGCTGGTTTCCCTTAGAAAGAAAATGCTAATCTTTTAATCTGACAGGGTGATCTGCTTGAATTGCCTCTAATCTCTGATATGAAACCAGACCGTTGATGAAGGCATAAACAGGAGGCAGATGGTTTTAAAAGAGGTTCAAAGGAAAACTTACATGTTCATGTTTTTGGTACAGATCAGTTCCACGGATCATATTCATTTTAATACTCTGGTCACACATGAATTAACGATTATCTCCACCTAGTGGTCTGGAGCTCTTAGTTGGTGCCAGTTTGTAGTGATGGTGAGATGAAGCTTCATGTTTAACTGTTTGGCCAAATTCCCCACAGTTCATGAAGCTTCATGTGAACATGTCACCGCCTACTGGTGGAGCGCAGAACTACAGCTAGTAATATAATCTGTGATTTTTTGCAATGGTTTGTCTTTTTTAAATTGTTATTAAGTTTTTCTGCCATTTTAGTGAAATAAGCTCAAGCAGACAGTGAAAGTGCCACGGTTTTTGGTTTTAATCACTTTGAAAGTTATATGTTCAACCAATTTTTTGGCTAAACCAACCAATTTAACTTTGCCAGTGTTTTTACCCAATCTATATTTGTACTACGGCGAACCAATACAAATTAGTCACATTGGCCAAAATACTTAATTAATATCCCAGTTTTTCAGTCTTTTTCAGTCGGTTTTCAAATGTCTCGTACACTGTGCGATCTTTTCAGTCGTTAGACGCAGCTACTGCTCACACTGTACGACTATACCGCAGGGTTTAGTCGTACAGTGTGAGCTCACAGCTCACGATTCATGTTCGGCCCGACGCTCTGATGCGATCTATCTGCTCTCTTAATGTACATTTATTTAGCACTTCAACCTTATGCTCTGCTATCCTAGCCGTACACGTTCTTCTTCTATTGTTTTTCTAGCTGCCACCTAACAATGCTAACAGGGCAGTGACTCCTAGTGGTAACACTAACCATAACACTCCCCCTGTACAGCACACGGCTGACGATCAGGCTGAAAGTCGGCCCGATCAAAAGGTCTCGCCAGACTGGAAAATCGCCCCAAAAATCGCACAGTGTACGCCCGGCGTAACGTGGGTCTCGAGCCTAAAACCTCAGGATGGAAATCAGTGTCTGGCAACGGTGACAATTGTTTCGAAAGCAATACTATTTAAGACTAATGTTACAACTTTGACCGGTGACTTCAGATCTGAGCAGATTTTAATCATTACATGGTTTAATCTGACCAAAATAGTTTTAATCAACTAAATTGGTTGTTTTTTCAACCAATCTATTCTTAGAATCTGTCCAAACTTTATCCAACTGCCAATCCTACAAACTCCCACATCTTGACTGAACACTGAGGCTTTAAAAATGCCTGCAGAAGTTCCTGCGCTTTCTGAACCACTTCCTGAAGCGGTCACATGGTATCATGGTAGCAAGGCTTCGGATGTCATCAATTTTGGCCCCTCCCCTAAATAAATCACGCCTCGACACGTGCTTCAGGGAATCCCCCCCCCCCCGCCCTTACTTAACACACACCTCGAAGCCTCGGCTCATCTCAGAACATCCTGAGTTTGACCACTGACCTCCGGGTCCCAGCATTGGATTGGCCGCCATCAGAATCGCTGTGACTAGTTGGAGTCCTGTCTGCAGACTGAGGGGGGGGCTGCGACACATCTGACGATGTGGGAGTCGGAGGTCCAGCCAGACCGTTTGTCATTGGCTCAGGGACATAAGAGGGCGGGGTTCGTGCCGAACCTTTAGAGACCAAATGATGAAATGTTTTATTGAACGTCTGCATTCAGTTTAAGACTGAACAATTCTAAGGATGGTTTGATACAGATTATGTTCCAGCATCCAGAGACTCTGGAGTGACGGTTCTGACCTGGCGTGCTGCCGTTGGCGTCCAGCGTCCGGCTGAAGGTGAGGTGCGTCAGCGCCCTGCTCTGGTTGGAGGACTCGCTGGAAGTCTGAGGCTGCAGGAGGTCAGAAAAATATGACATTCAGTGAAATGTTTGCTTCTTTTCTTCTCTTTACTTTCTGTGTTCTGACTGTTTTTAAAGGTGAAGAACAAAATATTTCCCTGTCTGTCTTTCAGTGAAAGATGTAAATTTAGTTCCACAGGAAGGATCTATGATGCATTCAGGTACCAATGTCTCTATGGTGCATTCAGGTACCAATGTCTCTATGGTGCATTCAAATACTGATGTCTCTATGCTGCATTCAGGTACCAATGTCTCTATGGTGCATTCAAATACTGATGTCTCTATGCTGCATTCAGGTACCAATGTCTCTATGGTGCATTCAGGTACGAATGTCTCTATGCTGCATTCAGGTACCAATGTCTCTATGGTGCATTCAGGTACCAATGTCTTATGGTGCATTCAGGTACCATGGTCTCTATGGTGCATTCGGGTTTACCAATGTCTTTTATGGTGCATTCAAATACTGATGTCTCTATGCTGCATTCAGGTACCATGTCTCTATGGTGCATTCAGGTACGATGTCTCTATGCTGCTTTTCAGGTACCAATGTCTCTATGGTGCATTCAGGTACCAATGTCTCTATGGTGCATTCAGGTACCAATGTCTCTATGGTGCATTCAGGTACCAATGTCTCTATGCTGCATTGAGGTACCGATGTCTCTATGCTGCATTCAGGTAACGATGTCTCTATGCTGCATTCAGGTACCAATGCTGCATTCAGGTACCAATGTCACTATGCTGCATTGTCAGGGTGAACGATACTGTTCTGGCCATCAAGGTTTACCCAATGGAAATCGCTCAAGAAATCGCACAGTGTACGCCGCTAACGTGGTCTCGAGCCTAAACCGGTGCAATCAGGTACATGTTGCAACGGTGCAATTGGTTCGAAAGCATACTATTTATAATACTATGTTACAACTTGACTGACTTCAGACTGAGCAATTTAATCATACATGGTTTAATTAGTACAAATGTCTTTAGACTGCATTCAGGTACCAATTGTTTATGTTATTTCAACCAATCGTATTCTTAGAATCGTGTCAAACTTTATCCAATGCTCTATCTGACAAACTCCGGCTACATCTGATGAACACTCTAGGCTAAATGCCTGCAGAAGTTCGCTGCGCTTTCTGAACCACTTCCTGAAGCGGTCACATGGTTCATGGTAGCAAGGCTTCGGATGTCATCAATTTTGCCTCCCTAAATAAATCAGCCGTACGACACGTGCTTCATGGGAATCCCCCCCTCGCGTACTTACACAGCCTCGAAGGCTGGCTCATCTCAAAATCCTGAGTTTGACCAATGCTCTATCCGGTCGCATTGCATTGGCCGCCATCAGAATCGCTGTGCTAGTTGGGTCCTGCTGCAGAGAGGGGGGGGCTGCGAACATCTGACTGATGTGGGAGTTCGGAGGTCCAGCCGACGTTTGTCATTGGCTCAGGCATAAGAGGGGGGTCTGCGAACCTTTAGAGGACCAAATGTAAAGTTTTATTGAACTGTCTGCATCAGTTAAGACTGAACAATTCTAGGATGGTTTGATACAGATTTAATGTTCTGCATCTCAGAGTACTCTGGAGTGACGTCTCTACCTGCGTGTGCCGTTCAGCGTCCAAGCGTCCGGTCTCAAGTAGCTGCGATCAGCGTCCGTGTCTGGTATGGAGACTCGCATGGAAGTACGAGTCTGCATGATGTCAAAAAATAGACATTCAGGTGAAATGTTGCTTCTTTTGCTTTCTACTTTCTGTGTTCTGACTGTTTTTACAGGTGACGAACAATTTCCCTGTCTGCTTTCAGTGACAGATGTAGAATTTAGTTCCACAGGAAGTCTATGATGCATTCAGGTAACAATGTCTCTATGTGCATTCAGGTACCAATGTCTCTATGTGCATTCAGTACGATGTCTCTATGCTGCATTCAGGTACCATGTCTCAATGGTGCATTCAAATACTGATGTCTCTATGCTGCATTCAGGTACCAATGTCTCTATGGTGCATTCAGGTACGGAATTCTCTATGCGTGCATTCGGTACCAATGTCTCATGGTCATTCAGGTACCAATTGTCTCTATGGTGCATTCAGGTACCAATGTCTCTATGGTGCATTCAGGTACCAGATGTCTCTATGCTGCATTCAAATACTGATGTCTCTATGCTGCATTCAGGTACCATGTCTCTAATGCTGCATTCAGGTACAATGTCTCTATGCTGCATTCAGGTACCAATGTCTCTATGGTGCATTCAGGTACCAATGTCTCTATGGTGCATTCGGGTACCACTGCTGCATTCAGATACCAATTTCTCTATGGTGCATTCAGGTAACGATGTCTCTATGCTGCATTCAGATACCAATTTCTCTATGCTGCATTCAGGTACCGATGTCTCTATGCTGCATTCAGGTAACGATGTCTCTATGCTGCATTCAGGTACCGATGTCTCAATGCTGCATTCAGGTACCGATGTCTCAATGGTGCATTCAGGTACCAATGTCTCTATGGTGCATTCAGGTACCAATGTCTCTATGGTGCATTCAGGTACCAATGTCTCTATGGTGCATTCAAATACTGATGTCTCTATGCTGCATTCAGGTACCAATGTCTCTATGGTGCATTCAGGTACGAATGTCTCTATGCTGCATTCAGGTACCAATGTCTCTATGGTGCATTCAGGTACCAATGTCTCTATGGTGCATTCAGGTACCAATGTCTCTATGGTGCATTCAGGTACCGATGTCTCTATGCTGCATTCAGGTAACGATGTCTCTATGCTGCATTCAGGTACCAATGTCTCTATGGTGCATTCAGGTACGAATGTCTCTATGCTGCATTCAGGTACCAATGTCTCTATGGTGCATTCAGGTACCAATGTCTCTATGGTGCATTCAGGTACCAATGTCTCTATGGTGCATTCAGGTACCGATGTCTCTATGCTGCATTCAGGTAACGATGTCTCTATGCTGCATTCAGGTAACGATGTCTCTATGCTGCATTCAGGTAACGATGTCTCTATGGTGCATTCAGGTACCGATGTCTCTATGCTGCATTCAGGTACCGATGTCTCAATGCTGCATTCAGGTACCGATGTCTCTATGCTGCATTCAGGTAACGATGTCTCAATGCTGCATTCAGGTACCGATGTCTCAATGCTGCATTCAGGTACCGATGTCTCTATGCTGCATTCAGGTAACGATGTCTCTATGGTGCATTCAGGTACCGATGTCTCTATGCTGCATTCAGGTACCGATGTCTCTATGCTGCATTCAGGTACCAATGCTGCATTCAGGTACCAATGTCTCTATGCTGCATTCAGGTAACGATGTCTCTATGCTGCATTCAGGTACCGATGTCTCTATGCTGAATTCAGGTACCGATGTCTCTATGCTGCATTCAGGTACCGATGTCTCAATGCTGAATTCAGGTACTGATGTCTCTATGGTGCATTCAGGTACCGATGTCTCTATGGTGCATTCAGGTACGGAATTCTCTATGGTGCATTCGGGTACCACTGCTGCATTCAGATACCAATTTCTCTATGGTGCATTCAGGTAACGATGTCTCTATGCTGCATTCAGGTACCGATGTCTCTATGCTGCATTCAGGTACCGATGTCTCTATGCTGCATTCAGGTACCGATGTCTCAATGCTGAATTCAGGTACTGATGTCTCTATGGTGCATTCAGGTACCGATGTCTCTATGGTGCATTCAGGTACGGAATTCTCTATGGTGCATTCGGGTACCACTGCTGCATTCAGATACCAATTTCTCTATGGTGCATTCAGGTAACGATGTCTCTATGCTGCATTCAGATACCAATTTCTCTATGCTGCATTCAGGTACCGATGTCTCTATGCTGCATTCAGGTAACGATGTCTCTATGCTGCATTCAGGTACCGATGTCTCAATGCTGCATTCAGGTACCGATGTCTCAATGCTGCATTCAGGTACTGATGTCTCTATGGTGCATTCAGGTACCGATGTCTCTATGGTGCATTCAGGTACGGAATTCTCTATGGTGCATTCAGGTACCGATGTCTCTATGGTGCATTCAGGTACGGAATTCTCTATGGTGCATTCGGGTACCACTGCTGCATTCAGATACCAATTTCTCTATGCTGCATTCAGGTACCGATGTCTCTATGCTGCATTCAGGTAACGATGTCTCTATGCTGCATTCAGGTAACGATGTCTCTATGCTGCATTCAGGTAACGATGTCTCTATGCTGCATTCAGGTACCGATGTCTCTATGCTGCATTCAGGTACCAATGCTGCATTCAGGTACCAATGTCTCTATGCTGCATTCAGGTAACGAAGTCTCTATGGTGCATTCAGGTACCAATGTCTCTATGCTGAATTCAGGTACCGATGTCTCTATGCTGCATTCAGGTACCAATGTCTCTATGCTGCATTCAGGTAACGAAGTCTCTATGGTGCATTCAGGTACCAATGTCTCTATGCTGAATTCAGGTACCGATGTCTCTATGCTGCATTCAGGTACCGATGTCTCTATGCTGCATTCAGGTACCAATGCTGCATTCAGGTACCAATGTCTCTATGCTGCATTCAGGTAACGATGTCTCTATGCTGCATTCAGGTACCGATGTCTCTATGCTGCATTCAGGTACCAATGCTGCATTCAGGTACCAATGTCTCTATGCTGCATTCAGGTAACGAAGTCTCTATGGTGCATTCAGGTACCAATGTCTCTATGCTGAATTCAGGTACCGATGTCTCAATGCTGCATTAAGGTACTGATGTCTCTATGGTGCATTCAGGTACCGATGTCTCTATGGTGCATTCAGGTACCAATGTCTCTATGGTGCATTCAGGTACCAATGTCTCTATGCTGAATTCAGGTACCGATGTCTCTATGCTGCATTCAGGTACCGATGTCTCAATGCTGCATTCAGGTACCAATGTCTCTATGGTGCATTCAGGTACCGATGTCTCTATGGTGCATTCAGGTACCAATGTCTCTATGGTGCATTCAGGTACCAATATCTCTATGCTGCATTCAGCAACATAAAACTCTGAAGGTTTTCTTGTTTTCTTTAGGAAACCATAGACTGATTTTTGTGAATTGGGTTGAGGGCCCCCACCTCCAGGTTCTGTTTGGGGCATCCATCGGGGTTGTAAAGCATGGGGTATCCTCTCCTCAAAACCACATCCACGCTCTGACCCATTGGCACTGACTTCAGCATCTCCACCACCTCCTTGTGAGAGCGACCCAGCACACAGGTGTCATTGATGTACACCAGGATGTCCGCTGCAGGAACCAAAGACGGACAATCAGTTTGGTGATAAATCAAAGCGCTGAGTCAATGTCCTGGTTCTGGGTGGAGCTTCTTTAAAGGAGGAAATAAAATTCTCTACTCTACACCAAACGCTGGATTATATTTTTGGGGGGAAGTTAATTGTGTGCTTATTTATTTTTGGAGCATTTATTTATTTCTGTATTTATTTTTAATTATGGCAGGATTGGTCCTCCATAGACAGGCTGGTTCTAGTCCAGATAAAGACCTTCGAGGTTCTATCTGTCCAGGATGCGTGGGGTCTGTAGAGAAGCACAGAAGCTCGGCGCCGATGATCCTCTCCAGAATCGGTTGTTGTTTAAATGGAATTTAAAATTTAGTTTGATTTAATTCTCAACTTCATCTTTAACCTGTGGTCACCCAGCAGGAGGCTGCTGTCCACAGTGGGGAGGCGTGAGGGCCGGGAGCTGGGTGGCCAGCAGACCAGGGTGGAAAGATATCCGTTAAAATTTAAAGGATGTTAAATAAGCTGTAATTCTTTTATTTTTATTTGCTGTTCACAAAAACACGTGTTCCCTTGTTTTTAATACATAATGGGGCCCATTTTCTTGGAAAATGACACATTGTGGGGACCAGCTGCTCCTTGTTGGGCCCAATGCCTGGAACCCACGAGGGGAATTGCTGTTTTTTGGGTCAGGGTCACGTTTATATAATTTCATAAATGTGGCATCCACATAAGTAGACACAGCAAAAATGAAGACTGTAGTACACATGCTGGGTCCTTTGGTGGCGCTGTGACACCGCCACAGAATCACACCAAACCAGTGGGCATGAGATTTGAAACACAGAAAAATGGCGGTAAAGAGGCGCATGCGGTGCATCCTGAAAGGTTGACTTGTTCTGGATAAACCTTATCTGGTCTCCGGGTTAATGAGGCCTTAATCACAGACCTTTAGTTAACTTGATTAAAATGCAGTGGCGGACGGTGCATATGGTGCCTGGGCCGTGTACGGACGACCACTCCTGGGAAGGCTGACAGCTGCTGCAGACTGGTGGAGACCAACAGCTGCTACCGTTGCTGATGACGTTCTGGCCCGATCAACAGGTGCTGCAGCAACTCACTCTGTCTCCCTACCTGTATTGAGAGTCGGTGGACCTCCAGGTGTGACACTGTACACCTGCAGGAACTCCTGAGGTTGACTTCCTCCGACGATGTTGAATCCAAAACCTCGAGGTCCCTTGGAGAGGCGGGTGTGGATGGAGTAACCCCTCAGCTGGCTCGGCTGGTCTGAGAACTCCGGAACTGTCAGGAAACAGAAAAAGTTCTGATCTGCAGAAACTGAGAAGGTAGTTAGTGGGGCAGTGCTGCCCCCCGCTGGCTGCTGTAGGAACAGCAGGAGGTCGATTTTAAAAATTACGTTCTGTGCAGGATGGCGTCTCTTTGCTCTGCGTTCGAGGATCCGCCCAACTGGTTGTCTTTGAGATGTGACTGAAAAACAGAAAAATAATTTCCATCATCATCAGCTTCATCTTTCACACTGTTCACCATAAGATCTGCTGAGTCGTTAACCTTCTAGGGATGAGGAAAGGAAGAACATTTGGTGGAACAGTGATCTGTCAGATCAGCATACCCATAATTAATAACTTAATAAACGGAAATCTCAGGTGTTGGTCATGCGTATTGACTACAGGTATGCTGGTGTGACAGAACAGCGGCTCTCTGAGGTGCTGCTGCTCTGAATGGTGCACCGTTACTGAGATCAGGGGTGTGGAATCCACTGGGTTTTGCTTTTCAGCACCAGCTTGTTTTTAACGTTCGTTCATACTAAGCGAGGTGCTGAGGAGCGCCCTCATGTGGTAGAAACTGTCACCTAAAGCCACAGAAAGCAGAGTGTGGAATATAATTTGATTGTTGCTGTGGTAATGGGGGGTGGGGGGGTTGTGTAATGTTGCACATGTGCCAGTTTTACATGGGCAGTTGCCCAGGGCGGTATCAATGGGTGGAAGCACACAAGTAGATAAGATTATAAATAATCTGCCAAAAACCCCAGGAGATACCCCAGGACGCCATCCGTTGTCTCATTAGGAACATGCCCACACGTTGTCAGGCATGCATACACGCACGTGGGGGCCATACAAATTACTGAATACCATTTTGAGTTGCTGCAATGAAATTTCACCAAATGGACTAACCTGCCGCATCATTTTTTCACTGTAAGTTTTGGGGTGTCTTTGAATTCAGCCCTCTGTAGGTTGATCATTTTCATCAAATGATGCGGCATCCTTTGTTCCCAACACATCACCCAGTCCATCTCAGGATTAATAAACAGCAGCATATTTTGCCCCGTTGAGATCTGATGTGTTTTCAAAGTGTTCCTTTTATTTTTTTTGAGCAGCGTACATATATACATCATCATCAGTGTAGAGTAGAAGCTAACATGTTTGCTTCCACTGATTTAGCCACATCACTCAGCTTCAGGTGTTAAACAACATTTTCATCCTTTGATTTAGTCAAACTCAAACAGATTCTGATGTTGTTGATTATTCATGAACTTCTTACTTGATGTAGTAGGGCTCTCCTGAGTCACTGTAGGCTAGCTCCCAGTTATCAGGAAGTGGGCCTCCCCCTCTTCCTCTTCCCAATCCTCTGCCTCCTGCTCCGTTCTCCATTCCCTCCCGACTGCTGGCTGTCGAGTCCCATGATTGGCTGAGCGGCAGCGCCGTGGGCGGGGCTGGCCCTGCAGAAACGGCCTGCTTAGGATTTAATCTCACCTGTGCAGGTGTAGGACACGGAGCGGGTTTTCTACCTGACGGCCCGCTCTCCTCCTCGCTGTTTTCTCCTTCCTCTGCTGCCTTCTCCAGGTTACTCAGAGACTTGCTCCTCGTCCTGAAGTTCCTCAGCAGGTTGCGATGTTCTTGGTATGTGATTGGCGGACTCTCTGGTCCGATATGTACGGGACGGGGTGTTCCGTAATAGTTCCCTATGATAAAGACAAGGTGAAAGGTGACGTCATACTCAGTGGTTTGATTAGATTTAGATGGGGCTTTGGTTGCTTCCCTCAGATGTTTGAGACTAAGATAGGAAAGCTGTGAGTCATCGATTGGTGTCTACATGGTAAACACTTTTGGCTTCTATAGTGCAGGGAATTACCGGACGTCCTGAGCCAAAGAGGTTTCCAACCATTTACTGGGAGCATCGGTTGCTTCCAAGACAAGTCCGCTCAGCAAGGAATTATCAACGGATCATTATTTATACCTAAAACTAATACGTTCACGGTGATTTAATGAATTCAGTAAAAAAAAAAAAAACAATTTTCGCCGTAATCACTGAGTCTGGGAGCGGCCATTTTTGCCCGAATATAGTAGCCCCTCCCTCCTACCATCATCCAGCAGTGACGTCACGGTGCGGTAAGCCTAGCGCCATTCTCCCCGCTTTCCAAGCTAAATCAATGGGAACTACTAGACACATCTGCAATCAACAACAATTATTGAAGATTTCCAGAGGACTTCACCATTGAAATTCACCAGAGCTATAGTGAAACTGACAATGCCCACGTGCATGGCAGCTGGATGCTGGAATACATCGGGTAAAAGTGAAAAAAAGAGTTATTCCACCTTTCTGATTCCTGATCCTCCACGGACGGGTTGGTCGTTGGATCGCCAACTTGAAGAGGGAGGATTTGCCATCGAACTTCTGGCCAGAGAAAAAACCCGTAATATGTAGCCAACATTTGGAAGAAGAATGTTTTCAAGATGACTTGGATAATAGCGCGTTGTGACAAACACCAGATACAGCACTGGGACTTGATCAACAGCCGATACCGCACCGTGACGTCACTAACCAGTAGGTGGCAGTAGTGTTCTTTGACAAACATGGATGCCTCCAGTAAAGCAGATTCACATGAAAATTACTCTGAATTAAAAACACTGATCATTTATTGAACAGGATGGAATCATTTCACATTTAAAGAACTTTCAGAAGTTTGAATCCTGAATATGAGCGACTTTTGCTTTCATTATAAATATTAGCAGGTGATGCATAGACATTCATCAGATTTGTTTTCCCTTTATGTTTGTGCCAATCACAACATTCACAAACCTGCAGTCTGATTTAACAGAACACTAAGCTTGTTTAAAACTTTAAGCTTAAGGGTTTCTTGTGGAGTACCGCCGGAATAAATGCTTTAAATTGATAAAATTATCAGACAGCTTTAGATTAAGGTCTGCCGCTATGCAGATGATATTCAGATATATTTGTCCGTAAATCCAGAGGAAGTTAACCCTTTATATTAGTAGCTCATTTTAGTTATTTATTTATTTATTTTGTTTGGCCTCCCTTTGGTTACAAGTAATTGAAACGAGCTGGTTTCGTAGTTCCCACTACTAGTTCCAACAAGTTGGTCCCAAATACTGTAGGTATGTGTCCTCCATAGATCTCCAGATCATTCCTTTTTAAATGTTCTTCTGTTATAGATCAAATGGGTGCAGTGTTATTAGGGTTGTTTATTAACTGGATCTGTGATTTTAATGCTCGTGAGTCGGACCTGTTTAGTTCAGACGAACTGTGATCTCAAGCATTTTCAGCCCATCTGCCAAACCTCGGTCTTTCCTGAAAGTCTTCCCGTTTCATTGTGGTTGTTCTCCTGTATTCAGAATGAAATGAATGCAATGCTCATAGCGCCACCTAACAGCAGCATGGATTAAAGCAGCTCAGCTTTGTGTCATTTTGAAGGAAATGATTCTGCATCAGATTCCAGGCTCCTTGCGTGTAAATTATGTTTCTATTTCAGGTCTTGTAATCCCTTCCGATTAATAGGCAGCGGTGGTGGTTCTGAAGGGGGGGTTGTTGACAGGTTTGAGTCTGCAGGTTTGCAGGATTAAAAACTAAATCCTCTTATTCTGCAAGAGGCAGTAAAAAAAAGAAATGCAGCTGCAGCAACATGGCCGCTCTGCTCTGAAAGAAATCTTTCACGTTTGCAGAGCCTCAAATCATTTTGGCTTAAACATGTATATAAATGTACTTTTTATCAGACCATATTGTCCCACAAATTATATTTAAAAGAAAATCCTGTCTTGAAATCTGTGTTTTTCCGTTATCTTCTGCAGGCCAGTTAGTTCTACGTCAGCCTGAACACCTAAATTCGGCCAATCATATATCAAAGGTCATCTGTCAATCAAATGTTTTCGGTCATAGCATCTTGATTCATCTGTCACAGCTAATATACTCCCCAGTGTTCACAGGGATGGACGTCGGTGTCTTCGGCAGGCGTAGAGCTAACAGAACTGGCATATGGATGAGTCTCGCCATAGCGTTCCTTGACAGCGTCGTTTCTAAGGCACCAATTTAGTGCTACTTGGTCCCAATGGAATTTCCCATTGGGAACCTACTAGCACTAAGTTGCTAACTGGTTAGCAAAAGACACCGGCCACAACCAAACTTGATTGCGAACCTTCCGCCACAACAATCCTGCCGCCTTAATAAACGACCAATCACATTCACTTTATTCACTCGTGAAAAGATGGCGCCGTTAAACACTGATGTATGTAAGCCTCTGTAACATGGCAGAGGGTGCATTTGATATTCACACCTTTGAACTTGCCGCTCTCCAGTAGAGCACCAGACTCTTCCAGAGAGAAAAACTCCTCGATGGAAACAAAGTTGTAGTCCACCCCTGAGATCTCACCATCCCGCGGCTGCCGTGTTGTACCTGTCGGAGGGACAGCATGATGTCATCAGTGAGGGACAGAGAATGCTAAACTGTTACCTTTGTGATTTAGGTTGCTTACAATGTTTACTGAGAGTAAGGACAACAGCTGGAAATAGGAAAGTGAATCTTAGATGAGTCTGGTGAAAATCTGATTTATAGGAAAACCTTATATCAGTGGTCTATGTTTATCATGGTGGGTTCAGGTGGTTCTATCGGGTGTTCAGGTGGTTCTTCGGGTGTTCAGGTGGTTCTATCGGATGTTCAGGTGATGTTTAGGTGGTTCTATCGGGTGTTTAGGTGGTTCTATCGGGTGTTCAGGTGGTTCTTACATGGCACGGCGCGCAGGTACAGGTTCTCCCTGATGAGCTGCTGAAGCTGACTGTCCATGGAGCCCGGAGTGAAACACTTGCTGAGGTACAACCTGAGGTCTTTACACAGAGAGGAACCTGAGACATACATACAGGATATGAAGTCAGAGTGATGTCATTCATGCATTCCTGAAGCTATTTTAGGTGAGATTGTCTGAAGCAGAGAATGGAATAGAACAGAGAAGAGTCAAACATTCCTTCATCTGCAAAAAGAACACGAGTAAAACCACTGAAAGAAACTAGATTAGCTTCAGGAGCTTCCATGGTTCTTATGCATTTGGCGTTTCTACATCCAGAAACATCATCAGCAGCTGATAGAACCAAAACAGAACATCTGCTGCTCTTTTTGAGACTACATGTCTGAGGGACAAGCTGGAGAGCTTCATGAGCTTGTGTTTTCAGAGATATCAGAAACCAGGAAACTGGAAGTAAACAGCTTACAGTTTGCTGGTAAACACCTTCCATGCTTCCACCTGAACTGGTCTGACTGGGTTTCTACAAGTTTCATTCCTGAGCTGAACCTGAATGTGATTGTCTCACCTGGTGACACTGTCTTAATCCTGATTGGATGAGGACAGGAGTTCAGAACGCCTCTGACGTCGCCCAGCGTCATCCCCAACACGGGCGTCCCCCCGATCTCCAAGATGATGTCACCCACCGTAGCCCCACCCCCTGGGGCTGCAGTGACGAATGGAAACTCGCCATAATCAGCTCCGCCGCCAACGGCCAGACCCAGTTCTCCTGAGCCGGTGCCGGCACCCAGTGGAACGAAGCTCTCCTGGACCTGCAGGCATTAGGGAAGAAGGTCTTTACTTACAGGAAGTCCTGAAGTTATGACTGACCGGCGTCTCTGGGGGGGGGGGGGCGTACCTTGGAGCGCCAGTGCAGCTTCTTCACCGTGGCTTTAGACATGGCCGCTGAGCTGCAGAAACAGGGGACATGTGGTTACGGAGCATGCTCAGTGAAGACCTTCAGCAATTCAGACATGCAGTACCAAGGCGTAGAAGAACACATCACAGCTCAGACTAGCTGTCCAGAACTCTCTGACCCACTTGAAACCTCATATCAATCGGTGCTGTCAGATTCCTTCACACATCTGATTTGGTTCTGGTCCAGTTTGAGCCCAACCAATAAAACCAGTTTGGCTGAAACGTTCTGCAAGCAGAGTGAGTTTATGGGAATCAATCACAATGCATCAAAGAAGCTGTTGAACTTTAACATGGCCGTGGACCTGGAGGTTCTGTTGACAAAGTACCAACCGAGTTAACTAGATCATTAACAGAGGGAACAAAGAGAAAACGGTTCTTGAGGTTTTCCTGCCATTCATCTCTGACGCTCCTTAAAGAGCTTGAATCAAACCACAAACAATGTGGTTCGTGATGACATCAGGGAGGAAATATGACTCCAGATGTCTTTTATGTTCCTGCAGCATCATCAGGGTCTCTGGACGAGGAGTTTGCTAGTTTTAACTTTTCTGTTCCTCAAAGTAGAAGCAGAATCGGTTTGAGGGTAAAAGCCCAGAAGGTTTTGGGGTTTCTGGCTTCACACATCGTCTCAAACTTCTTCATTCTGGATTCCCTTTATGTTTCAGGAAATAACCTTCTCTGTTGGAGGCCTTTTATTTCCCACAAGCACAGAGACCAGCTTTCCCCTCATTTCCTTCCCAGGAGGCGGTGTTTTCCTCAGATTGAACACAGACTCAGCACTTCAGAAGGCGGGATCTAATTTTGGGCTCCTGACAAAATCAATGGTTCCCATTTGGAGGCAGATACTCCATGGATTCACTGCCTGTGTCAGAGCGGCAGATGGTGGCGACCAGCATGAGCCCCAACACACACACACATTAAATATGGATGAGCATATGCAATGGAAGTCAATGAGGAAACAAACAACAACGGGCACATTGAGCCGTGTCCCCTAAACTACAGAATACAGGAGGAACAGGAAATGCACGGCGGTACCTCTGGCCAGCATAGGGACAGGAAATGGAAACGCGTCTCAGTCGATGTGGTTTGGATCGAGCTACAAAATGCAGATTCAGAGATTCTAATGGTGTACCACAGGGCCGAGTGCTCGGACCGGTTCTGCCTGCTTTGTAAACCTCTGGACTCGTTTGTTGAATCAACCAATCACAGGGCAGCACTGTGCACCTAGACGTGGGTAGGAAGACATGCTGGAAATCAGCACCAGACCGGAGAAGAAGTGGAACGCTTCATGGTTGATGGTCGGAGTATTTCCCAAAGTGCTTTAACTCGTAACCATCGCTCAGGTTTACAGATGAAACAGAAGGAAAACTGGCCTCCAGTAGCACCAACTGGTATCAAGCAGACGAGTCGAGGCTCTGCAGCGACAGGGACAGAAATGGACCTGAACAGGTTGGAGAAACTTTACCTGGTCCAACGAGTTTGGACTACGGCTGATAGGTTCAGATGTTTGGGTCAGAATATGATGGAAACAGCTTAGAACGGAGGTCTTAAATAGGGGGGCGAGACCCCTAGGGGGTTCTCAGAGGTACTGCATGGGGGTAGCCAACGTTTTGCTTGATTTTTTTTTTTTATATTCCCCCCTGCAATTATTTTCCACTAATTGAAATGTCTTTAAATCCACATTAACATGAATTCAACGGACTGTAGTAAACAGATAAATGGAGGCAGAAGATGTCTTTCAGTCATCAACACCTGTCCCATCAACCAGGAATCAGAAATACTTTAATAATCCCAGGGAGGGATTACTTTAGTTACATTACTCCATCTGTAATAGAGTGACTATAGGACCAGTTTGATAGAACACTATTCTATGCAATATATATATAATTAGGGGGTCCCCGCTCCATCTCACCATCAGTTTGGGGGCCTTAGCCTGGAAAACTTTGAAGACTTAGAAGATTGGATCCATCCTGGTATCAACAGTCCAGGCTGGTGGTGGTATCATGGTTTGGGTGACCTGAGCATTGCTGCTGTCCAACTCCATCCCCATCAGGACCCCAGTGGACCCGTCTTCTGATGGTTCATCCCATCATGGATGTTCTGCCAACAGCTGTGAGGCTCCCATGTTAGTTTGGACCAAATGAAAAGTTCTGAATCCTTGTTGGATCTACGCGATGAAGAGTTGAGGGAGTTCTGAGCCAGTAAGAAAAAGGTGCACCTAACAAAGTGGCCAGAGGGTGATTAAGTGACTAAGATAAGGAAACGTCCATCATGTTGAGGAAGGAGAGGAGGAGGCATTCAGGAAAGGAAGGAGGAGTTCAAGAAGGATTCCTGTAGGAGGTGGAGATGTTTCTCCTTATGTTTCGTACGTGTCATTAACATGTTTCCCCTGGTTGTTGGCGACACTTCCTGTCGTCCATCTCCTCAGGCCCGGTGTGTGTGTGTGTGTGTTACCTCTACAGAAGAAGTCTGTTCCTCTGAGTGTGTTCTGCCCTCATGTCCGCTCCTGCTCTCTTCCTCTTCCACTTTCTCTCTCTCTCTCTGTACCTTCAGCCAGTGTCCCTCGCCCAGAGATACGCCCGGTCAGAGTTCATTGTGTGTTTGTTTAAGGCGGTACCAAAACCGAACCGCTTCCTTCTGATTGGCCCATTCAGCCGTCCATCAACAACAAACTAATAAACAACGTGTCACATGAATTTATCTGGGAAGGTGAGGATAGAGGAGGCGAGGAACCAAGGAAGGAGAGCAGGAGGTTATTACAGGAGACGAAGGATCTGAGGAGTCATCCTCTGAGCTGAGGAGCTTTTCAAGCAGCCAAAGTCCAAAGAAAACTAGATCCAGAGTTCTAGAATGGCAGGGAGGCGACAGAGATCACCAGAACCTCTGATTCTGACAGCGCTCGGATGAGCTTGTCTGAAGGAAGCAGTCAGTAATTAACTGGATCCACAGAGGGGGGTTCCTGTGGGAGTGGACTTAGTGGGTCAACATTCGGACGTAACAGCATCTCTGCGCCGTGACCTCGTTAGCTCTGTGGTTCTGTCCAGATCTGTCTAACCTAGTTTTCCTCTCGTCACCTCGATGCTGCTCGACTTTCCAGCCTCTGTGAGGAAGCCGGCACCAAACGGAGCTCCAGTTTACAGCAAATGACCGCGATGACGGCAGAGTCTGTACAAACAAAAAGATGCTTTCTTCCAAAAATCTTAGCCTGACCCGATTCTAAACAGATAAAAGAATAAAATCCCTGCAGGAGGTTCTGTTCAGTTCAGGTTAACTCTCTGATTATTAAAGGGAACAATGAGTTCCTCCTGGAGGACACAGATCTGCACCCTGATCAACACGTTAGTAACCATGGCAACACCTCTCATTGGGGGGGAAAAACCTCTTCCCTTCTTTTTAGCCGCTCAGTGAGCAAACAAAAATAAACAAACCCAACATAAGATGTGACCCAGAAGGATTGGGTCGGCGTCTTACATGAAAAGAACCAACCATCAGATCTGGAAACAGGTCCATGTGTCTCTAGAACTCAGAGGCACAGTGAGATCTAATTATGTCCAGTTACAGAAAATAACACACCAAGCAACCTGCAGGAAAGAGGTCAAAGGTCAGAGCAGACTAAAGATGACGATGATGAGGAGGAGGATGTTCAGTGTTTGCTCCTCTCACTGTAGACAGAGATCGACTCTGACAGCAGCTGTCAGCTCGAATCTTCAGCCCCAATACCGCCGCGCTGATGAAGTCATCAGCAATGGGTTCCCATGGAGATGGAGGCGTCTCGACTGAGGGTTCAGACGCCACTAAAAATTCTGAGCCAGTATCATAACAATGTTTTAACCAGAGACCCGAAAGCTCAAATCTTTGAGCTGCATCAGGACCACCTGGGTTCTGCCCCCTCATCCTGGTCCCCACATTAAAGGCAAACATCCTCCTCCTTTACATAATCATAATTTTTATTATTTTAAAGTCAGAAACGGCACATATTTTAAACTTGTTTTCCAATGCTGCCTTTAACTTTTAGAATCACATTGTTTAGCCTAGCATTAGCTTCAGTGCTAGTATCTCTCTAAGTCTCCTCGCCTCCTTGCTGTGTGTCAGATGTTCAGTTATTTCTCTGCATCCTCTATTCATTACATTATGTTTAATAAATAATGTAACTTTGCTGTTTTGGAGGGAAGGATGAGAATTGGAGGCTCATCTCCAATCAAACAGCGAGCCCCATGAGCTACCAGGAGTAGTACTAAGAAGGGGGGTAGCAACCATGTTTCAGTCTGATTAATCAGCATTTAATGCTATCTCAGACTCGATTGGCTTTGTTCAAAATGTGCATAGTCCCACACGTTCTCCTCTTCATACTTTGGACCTTGTACTGACATATGGCATTGAATGTAAATAAATAACAGTGATCCTCACAACCCTGACATAACTGACCACCTAAAAAACAAAACAAAAAGACCCTTCATAAACAAGGGCAGCATATTTCTCTTTATCAATAGTGGAGAACCGATAGATGTATAAATAGGATCCGAGATTTATTTTGAATACCCTTCCCAAACTCACTGAGAGCCATAGCTCTGTTGAATCATCCATCCTCCTGCTCTCAGCAGTAATGACTTAAGATCATTAGCACCCCTCTAAATATTATTGGTTTATCTCTGGAAGGTGAGGCAGCATCCGAGGTAACCATAGAATCTGAACCGTATTTAGACAGTTTTCATTAGGGATGCACGATATAATAGGCCCCCTATCGGTATCGGCCTTAAAACTGAATATCGGACATCGGCCACCCCACCGATATTTGATATTTGATCAGCTTCTGAGTTTCTAAAGTCTACAAAAAAAAAAAAAAATACTACTTCTTCCTCAAAAACTTCTTTTTTACAGACTTAAAAACTTCTTCTTGCAGTCTGCTGACATTCAAATAATGGAGGTCTATGGTGCCCGAGACAGAAAGGTCCATAAAAGTCCACAAAAAACGTGTCAATATTCCTCCATACTGCTCGTCCAATGTATTCCAAGTGTCCTGAGTGGGTAGCGTCCATAATTTACTCGAAACGAAGTCATTTAGAATGTTTTTAGAGCATAAACAGTAGTGTATAGGATTTCCTGAAAGCGCGTTCACGAGTCTACGGAAACCGCGGCAGACCAAACCAGATGAAAGTGCGCATTTGAGATATCAAAAAAGTACTCCAGAGTGTTGTTCAGCATGGGGGTGAGTAGAAAATGAAGGCTAATCATGTTTTGGGTGTACTATTCCTTTAAAACTTTCCTTTTTGATAAAGCTTCTAGTTAGAGTGGCTCAGGTTATCCTGAGCTATCTCTATAGTTCTGCTGCTATAGGCTTAGACTGCTGGAGGACATAAAACTCTCGCTCACTCTGCTACATTTATTTCAATTCAATTGTTTTTATTTATTTAGCACCAATCTAAATCTATCTACCGTAAATCAGTCGATGGCATCCAGTCATTATTTTGCGGAATTCTTTCACCCTGGAAAGCAGGTAGAGACAATAATTATTGTTGTTTATTCAACATTAATCCCTAACATTCTTCTACTACTCTGGTTTGAATTGTTTGTTAGTTCAGCTTTGAACTTGATGTTATTTCTAATCATAGTTGCTCCATCTGGCCTTCCTTGCTGTTTTACCGTCTAAAAAGCAGGTATCAGCTGGGCTGATGCTGTCAACAACTTGATTTTATAGATGACAGAGTTGCCCTTTTCCTCTGTGATTGGTCTGGTTTATCTCCTAGACGATATGGGTTCAGCTTTTATTGCAACTAAGTGTCCTGCTCTCTTTTATCTTTTGGTCTTTCTTTCCCACTCTCCCTAAATGTATGCTAAATGTGAGGTATTGCTGCAAAGTCAGCAACACAATGGAAGCGACAGTTAGCAGCTGCTGTATGCTCATTCAGGAGGAGTAAATTCAGCACAAGCAGTTGGATTTCCTAAGATGCATCCACCTCTTCCAGATGTCCTCTAAAGAAATGAGAAATCCAAATTTAGGGAATGCAGAAAGTTTTTTTTAAGAACCCAACCCCATGTGGAAAATTTATAGAGTAAACAGATATTAACATATCATTAAATTAATGTCAGTAAAGTGTTTCAAGACTTTATTATTCACTACCAGGTTTAAAAAAATTTCCAATTAATTCTCTGAATCTGAAAGTTCTGTTTCTGAAAAAGTATTAGAAATTCATTTGAGCTAGATATAAATCGCATAGACTGAGTGACGATGTTATTAAAAGCTCTGCTCATCTTTTCTTCATAGATTACCTGAAGGTGGAAAAAATCCAGAGAATTCTCTACAAAGCAGGACCTTTAAAAGGATCCAATAAAAGTCTTTATAAATCTTTAGGTTCATCCAGAAAAACATAAAACCAGAAATAATCAGATGACGACAGAAACTCATCAATATGAGAAACCTATGGAAGAAAAATAGTCTCATTATGATCTCCCTTTTTTTTTACGCCGTATTTTAAACACTGATTTTTTTTTACACATTGAATTCCTTACACTGAATTTATATCTGTAAAAAATTTGCTAAAAAAAATTCAGCTGTAAATGTTTTTACCTTTTGTTGAACTAAAGCCAAAGCAATCTACGCTTGATGTAGTCGAGCAGCTTCTAGCCAATGAAATGAGCTGATTTGGTCACGTGACTCAACAGTTGGGCGTAGCTTTGTTCCAGGATAAATGAGGAGTTTTTCTTGGTAAATAGATCTGATTACAAAACATCAGGTAGCTACTAACAGACAGCATTAGAGTTTTTCCATCTGATCAGATCGGGTGAAATAACTGAGCCGATCGCAGCTAGTGCAGCACCCCCGTCTGCCAAGGCTCTTGGTTTGATCCGGAAGAAGCGGCCGGCCGCAAACTTTCTGACCAATTTTCCTTTTGGTCGGTTCCAATGATCAGTCCAGTCAGCGGCCCATTAGCCCCCCCTCAAAAAAAGTGTCTCTCTTTTCTGAAACCCAATTGTGGTTACCATAGATACGCTAGCAGTGCTATCAACAGAGTCATCCTTCCAGCCTGCGGTTGCGACGGCCTTAAGGTCGGAACAGCCCCTCGTTTCAGTAAAAGAAGTTTAGCAAATCCTGCTTTGAACTGTCCAACATTTTGAAAGCTGTCTTCGGTAAAATGCTTCGAGCAAATGAACAGCTGAGCATCAAACTTTGCAGGGATCCTTGGGAAGACTGTGAAAATGTTCCCCTTTCTCCACGCAGCCCCGAACGCTGCATTACGATAGTGAACCAGTGAGCTGGTCTGGATGTCAACTTCAGGGCGCGACCAAAGTTCAGCCCAGAACCAAATAAGGAAACATCCCCGAGTTCAGATGGGACAAAGTCTCATATCTGCAGAGAGTTAGAACTAGAAGGTGAATCAGTGGAACATCTGGGAACACCTCCCACTGTGTACTGGGAACCTCCCAGTATGGACAAGGAAACCTCTCCACCATAGACTGCAGTGGAGAAGCGCTGACTCAGCGGAGCCATCAACACCTTTCAGCTTCTCTTGTGGAGCTCTTCTCTCTGAAGGTCTGTCCTGGTTTTAAGGTTCCGGGTCGGGAGGTCCTCCGGCAGCCTGAAACATCCCAGTCTGTATCCCAGTCTGTATCCCAGTCTGTATCCCAGTCTGTATCCCAGTCTGTATCCCAGTCTGTATCCCAGTCTGTATCCCAGTCTGTATCCCAGTATGTCCCAGCGTCTCAGGTCAAAGTTATGGCGTCCGACCAGAAGGAGAATCATGGATCTCCTCTACTCAGACTACTCGGTTGATCTTCGATAAGCCATCAGGAATCTGATCAGGTGATCTGGTTGCTATGGGTTACCTGAGCAGGTGGTTGATGACCTCATGGACAGCCTGTGAGGTCTTCCTCCCAGTCATGTGATGAAGCTCAGGTGTGCTTACCTTTCTGCCTCTTTATGAGGCTGACACAGAACCAGGAAGAATCGTGACACACCTGAACGCTCCTCCTCCTGTGACCCCCCTCCTCGTCCTCCTCCTCCTCCTCTCCTCACTGTGACCTCCTCCTCCTCACTCCTGCTCCCATACATTCATCTTACAGCAGACAAAGAGCAGAACATCCAGCTGCTGGATGGACACCATGGAAACATGCGCACGCGCCCGTGCTTTTCACGCTGCTGTCTTTCCAAAGAAGCACGCGCGCGTGCACGGTGTTGCTGATGGAGGAGGTGACCGACCCTCCGCTGCCCCCTCAGCCCGGGCTGCGTGCTGCATGTGTCGGCTGGAAAACTGCTGACAGAGCCGTTTCCTCGTGCACGGACACCAGTAAAAAAACGTCCCCAAGCGCGCGCGTCCCGGCGCCTCGCGCCGCACAAGCAGCAGATAAACAGACAACAAATAAACAGAAAGCAAAGCAGCTCCTTACCTCCATAATTCCTGCCGCGTGCGGTGCGGATGCGCTTGTCTTCTCTCGTCCCTCTGCTGCCGCGCGCTGCTGCTGCGGCGAGCATGCGCCAGCGTGCGCGTCTGCCTGTGCGTAATTGTCCACTGCAGGTAAAAAAATGCGAAAGCATTGAAAGGTGGAAGACCACACACACGCATGCGCGTTGAGCTCTGCGTGTGGATCTTTTTTCACCCTAAAGCACTCATGCGTGCGCACGCGCGCGTAGCCTGCAGGTAAGCGGCAGCTTTACTACTGACAGTTACTGCGCGCGTGTACGTGCATGTGTAAGAGAAGCCCGCCTCCGGTGGGCGGGGTCTGCGTGATGAAGGGGAACTCGGGGTAGAGGGCTGACGTCACCATGATTGGATCTGCTGGGAGGACAGAACCTGAAAACAAACTTTATTCAGCATAATTTTCACAACAAAAAAAAGAAAAAAGGGAAAAAATAAATAAATAAAAATTATATATATATAAAATGGCGAAGATTATGTGTTCATGGCACCCTAATAAATGTAAAACAAATTCCTGTTTAATGAGCCAGGATGCTGCACTGTGAAAACAATACGTTTTGGTCACTGAACGCCTCATTAAGACACATAATTACCTTCATTAAAATATGAATTTAATTCAGTATTTAGTTTTGTAAACTTTCAAAGCTCATTAACTGAGGCCTAAGAAACACTTTATACAGACAATAATAAATTCCACACAGTAGTTTTTGTTATTTTTGATTGATTGATGCATTTTCTGTGTGTTCAAAGTTTTACAGAAATAAAACAAGGAATAAATTAGATGAAATCAAAAAGGTTAAAAACAATCCACTGGCCTTTGTTTCAAAGTTTGAAGACGTTTGGCTTCCCATCCAGGAAGATTTTTATGTTCTATATGTCGGAAATAGCGTTGAGTTCCCGGCTTTATAGCAAAGGTAACCAATTAAAAATCAGCGGGTCAGGAAAGATCAGGAGACGTTTTTAATTATAATCTGTTACTTTAAACAGAATTTAATGCTGAAATAAAATGAGGTGTTTATGGATCATGTTGTACATTGACTTTTTAAGTAAGGAATATAAAAAAAAAAATTTTTTTTACATGTTATAAGTGTTTTTTTCAGTAGAGAACAACAGTCGTTCAGTTTGGTTTATAGATAATTTCCAGATTCCCATATTTTCTCAAACCCCTGAACTGATGGTTTGTTATTTTATTTCTTTTTTCTGTCTTAATGTTGGCAGTGGGCTTTAGGCTGCCCTGCAAGGCATTAAACCTGGGTTTAACCGGAGACCGGAGCCATTCTCAAGCACATATCAAGGAGCTAATTTTGATGTTGATTCTGTTCATGGTGGAGAATCCTGCTTCACAGCAGCAGGTTGAGCCAAACATCCTCTAAATGTGCAGGGTCATCTTTGAGCACGCCATTTCACTTTTCTTTCACCAGTTCACCGCAGTTCTTCCAGCAGTCCACACTTTCTCTGCTCTCTTTTTCTCATGGTCTTCTCCTTCTTTCCCATCGCCCGGCTTGCCACAGGTTTGCCTGCTGTGTCTAAAAGTAGCAGCAGCAGCAACCCAGACTGACAGCTCATTGGCTCATTTGGATCACGTGCAGCCTGGAGCACGTGATCCAGCAACCTCCGGTTTATACAGTAGCCAGAGCATGTAAGCGGAGTATGGAGCGAGCGCTGGAGCGGAGTGGAAGAAATATGGCGTGGAGCGGTTTTCAATTCAAAGGCTCTACTCTGAGTCCTCCCCAGATGACTGAGCTCCTCCCCCTATCTTATTCTCCTATTCTTTCAGTCATGACCCAATGCTCATGACCATAGATGAGGGTGGGAACGTAGATCGACCGGTAAATCGAGAGCTTTGCTTTTTGGCTCAGCTCTTTCTTCACCACAGCAGACCTGTAAAGCGCACGCTTCGCAGCAGACGCCGCACCAATCCGCCTATCGATCTCCCGCTCCATCTTCCCCTCACTCATGAACAAGACCCAAAAATACTTAAACTCCTCCACTAGGGGCAGCACATCCTCCCCAACCTGGAGAAGGTGCTCTAACCTTTTCCAGCTCAAGACCATGGTCTGGGATTTGGAGGCACTGATCCTCATCCAGGCTGCTTCACACTCGGCTGCAAACCGCTCCAGTGAGAGCTGTAGATCACGCCCTGATGAAGCCAACAGAACCACATCATCTGCGAATAACAGAGAGACGATCCTAAGGCCACCAGGACAGATCCCCCCAACACCTTGGCAGAGCCTAAAAAATTCTGTCCATAAAAGTTATGAACAGAATCAATTCAATTCATTTCTATTCAGTTTATTTCTATAGCTCCAATTCACATCATGTCATCTCCAGTCACTTTCCAGTTCACCAGATCATCCAGTCAGATTGATTCAAAGTTTTCTATCTAAGGAAAACCAGCTGATTGCATCGACTCATTGACTCTTCAGCAATCCCTCACACTAAGCATGCTTGTAGCGACAGTGGAGAGGAGAAACTCCCTTTGAACAGGAAGAAACCTCCAGCAGAACCAGGCTCAGTGTGAGCGGCCATCTGCTGAGGCCCACTGGGGTTCAAGGAGACAGAAGCAGACATAGAAAAAGAAGCATAGATACAAAAGGCAACTGTCAACCAGCTCCACAGGCGGCCCCGTCCAGGAAACACACAGCCAGGCAGACGAGCTCCGAGCCAGCTCCCATGTCAGAGGATGAAGAGAGCACATCCAGTTAGTCACAGTCAGAGAAACAGGACTACACTGGAAAACAGGCCAAGCTCCAACATCTAGAAACAAAGGTGTTGATGGCAGCAGCACAGCTGATATTTCTCTCCAGGATGGAGTCACAGCCAAACAGGAACAGACGAGGTAACTAAAGGCAACCTTGGCGGAGTCAAATGAAAATTACTCTTAATTGAAATCACTTATCATTTATTGAACAGTAGGTAATAATTTCATATTTAGAGAACTTTCAGAAGTTTTAATTCTGAATATGAGCGGACTTTTCCTTTAAAGCCACATAAAATAATAATGGAGCAGCTGCTTTTATGCTTAGTGGGTGTTATCTGGGATATCACAGCGCTAAGCACAATACTGAAATCAGAGTTAACCTGTTAAACAGAGTATTTAACTATAACAACTAAACTCAGTGTAAATCTGCTAAAGTGTTGGAGTTAAAAATCAGTGAACAATTTGACATCCATGCAGCGTAACTTTCACTCCATATGGCGTCAATTAGCAGCCAATCTGTGAGAAGTTTTCTTGATTTTGACACTAATATGAGTAAAAATAACTCTTAAAAAGTGTTTAATGTCCTTATTAATAAAAAAGAAATGGAACATTATTGATCTCACAATGGAGAAATGAACTCTCTGCATTTAATCCATCCCTTGGGGAGCAGTGGGCTGTCATTGTGTGTTGCCAGGAGAGCAGTGTGGGGGTTAAGGGTCTTGCTCAGGGACCCAGAGGGCCGGCTGTGGAGATTGAACCGGGTACTTGTAACCTTCTTAAAGCACAAGCGCGCTGCTCTAACACTCCCTCGCATATAATTGCTCCATGTATCCATTAACTAAACTTCCCTGTAATGTAACCCCCTAACCGCCCCCACCACCCCACCGCAGTTTAACCGAACTACTCCAGCCTTTCTAGACGTCTTATTTATGGATATTCAACAAACATTCACCTGTTAAAGTAACACTTAGAGAGTACATTTAGTGCAGGACTTTTTTTTTTATTTTTAACAAAACCTTTTTATGTCCTTTATGTTTTCAAATTTTGTTTTCAAAATTCAATTTACTAGACTGTCTCTGCTTGGGAGATACTTCCTCCTCTTCATCTTCCTCCTCTGTCGTCCCTCTGCAGCACAGTTCTTGCCCAGCAGAGGACAGCAGAGGTCCGTCCAGGATCCGCTGTGTGATGTCACCAAGAGAGCCTGATGGGAGGAAAGTTTCCAGGAATGATTGTGATGCTGATTCAGACACAGTTCTTCCTTTCTTGAAGAAGTAATGATTGTTTACACTGTTCTTCCTAAATGCTCCACAGAATTCTATTCAGTTTATTTCTATAGCTCCAATTCCCATCATGTCATCTCAGGTCACTTTCCAGTTCACCAGATCATCCAGTCAGACTGATTCAAAGTTTTCTATCTAAGGAAAACCAGCTGATTGCATCGACTCATTGACTCTTCAGCAATCCCTCACACTAAGCATGCTTGTAGCGACAGTGGAGAGGAAAATCTCCCTTTGAACAGGAAGAAACCTCCAGCAGAACCAGGCTCAGTGTGAGCGGCCATCTGCTGAGGCCCACTGGGGTTCAAGGAGACAGAAGCAGACATAGAAAAAGAAGCATAGATACAAAAGGCAACTGTCAACCAGCTCCACATGCTACACTGAAAAACAGGCCGAACACCTTTGTTTCTAACATCTAGAAACAAAGGTGTTGATGGCAGCAGCACAGCTGATGGAGTCACAGCAGGAACAGACTATCTATCTATCTATCTATCTATCTATCTATCTATCTATCTATCTATCTATCTATCTATCTATCTATCTATCTATCTATCTATCTATCTATCTATCTATCTATCTGCAGTCAATAATTGGGATAAAATAATTTTAGGAAAATATTTTATGTAACTTAAGAATAAAGCTGTATTCAATAAGAAAAAAAATTAATTAGCTCCTTTATTTATTTGCCTTTGTAATATTTACCTTATTTATTTTTTTGTCCTTTATAATCTTCAACTTTTTTAATTACTTATATTTTTAAGTAAATATTTATATGCATGTTATAATATTTTTGTCTGTTTTATTCTTTTTTCCTTTCTATTTTTTTACCCTAGTTATTTCTTCGCCGCTATTTATTTCTATCTTATTATTATTTTTAAATATGGCAGAGTTGGTTCTCAATACGTCTGTGGTTAGAGGACAAAAATCAATCAATCAATCAATCAATCAATCAATCAATCAATCAATCAATCAATCTCTTCACTCCATTTAACCAGTTTCATCATTCCAGCTAAAGCTAATGCTACAATCCAATCAGTCTTTTTTCATATTTACTCCTTACAGACTAATGTTTATCAAGGTGTAAGAAAAAAAACACCCCCTGTCAGCCACTACATGAGCTAATTAATCAACTTTCCATGTAATTTTATTTTTTATCTTGTGTTCAGGGAACTTTTTATTTCCAATATCGAATAACATGATTTCTATATTTTTTTAT